CTCTGATGTGCTACAATTGGCAGAGACACAAACGGTAGGGGGTGTGTGAGAAGAAAGCCAGCATTTCGTGTGGAAAGCTGGCAAGCCTCGCCAAGCTTCTGTCAACAACTCGGCGGTCTGATCCGATGCACTGAGCGTGCTGATGATGCTCTTGTTTCTGGAGGAAGTAAACAAGAAAATGAATTCCACCGTGCAACACAGCCTCTTTGTATCTCCAACATGGTGTGACTGGACTGGGGCCAGCCACGTTGAAAGTTTGGCCATTTATGTCATCAGGGCCCCGGTACTGATGGAGGCTTTGATTACGAGTTGGACCAGCTCTAAGACCCTTCAGGGGCAGCCACGCAGCAAATAAAGGCATTGATTGGTTGTTGGGTCAATTTAGCCATAAGGGTACAGAGCACGGCTCTTTTGAAAAGCCTAATGGATTAGCTACACAACCAGTCCCACTGTGGGCCTTATTTTTCAAGTAACTTCAGGACGGTTTTCCAGCTTGGCAGGGAACAAACTCTTCCTCCAGAGCAAGTTCAGAGCTGTTCTTGTTATCAATAGTGGGCTCAAAGGATTAGACACAGCGGGCTTCACAATTTCATGAAAACAGCTGTTGAAACAACAATTAAGGCAAACAATAGTTTGCATGGACAACTATTAATTATGTAAAGTTATGCAGAAAGTGGAATACGCTTTTATTCAGGGCCTTCTACAGCCGCTGAGCCACCTTCCATTCCATGGCTCTCAAGCATCAGGAAGTGGGGGCACTCGTAGGAAGCGGCTCCACCGCATGTGGGTTGAATGTAAGCAGAGCTCCAGGCTGCCAGTTTGCTGCAGAGCAAGTCATGGGGAAAATATTCAGGAAATGTATATCAGTTAAACAGGTTACCTTGGGTACCGCAGATCTTTTCATACAAACTCAGAGCTGTGTTTTCACAGGTATCTGAAATTCAATTTGAGCCTTGTGGTTGGGATCTCTACGCTTGTTTTTAAAAAAACAGAACATTTCTATAATATGTCCCCTTTCCGGCCTCACACGCCCTGAGGAATTATGAACAATAATGTTCTTTTCTAAGTCATTAGTAAGGAACTGTCAGAAAGGAATCACTCTCTGGGAATTGGTGGAGCTCCTTGTCCTTAGGACTAAGTAGATTTTCCTTCCATTAGGAGGATGGTCCAACTTAGACTCAATCACTCCATATCCACCTCCTCCCCTAGAACAGCTCATCTCTCCTTCCACTCTCTCTGCTTGCTGGGGCTTTTAAATTCATTGCTTCTCTCTTTGCAATTTCCACCCTTGACTAACAGTGCTGGGAATTGACTTACGGCCCTTCGCCTACCCTGTGTTCCACATCTCACTTTCCTCCCTGTATGGGAATCACCAAGCCAAGAAGTCCCATTAAGAAGGTTATTAACTGTACACATAAACATTGCCTCCTGCCTACAGTTAGATTTATTTCTCATCACTTCCAAGTAACTGGTTTTAACATTCTTTCCAGCATGCCCAGCACCTTTTATTTGACTATATTGTTTTAGAAAGGCCTTTGGGAATTTGGCTAATTTCATGCTGGAACTTATTAAGTGGGTTTTGACACTCTTTGATAATTCCAATAGACCATTAGTCAAGTCTCACTTCCTTCAGGGAAAGAATGAAAGCTTCATTAGTCTTAGGGTCTCTATTCTAAACATGTCACCTGAATTTAGTAGTGCATCTGTGCTGAAATGCAATTGACTTTGTGATTGAATAGAACTTTGAAACTACAAGAAAGCTGTCACTGGCTATCATCAGTAAGAGAGCACCTGCCTTTTTCTGAAATTCTCATGAGATTCACCTGTGCATTTTGAAACACTTCAGTGAATTTAATTTTCTGACCTGTGAATGTTAATAAAATAAACTGCACACACACATATCCACACAAGTTCTCTCTAAAGTACTTGGTTTAGTCCTTTCTTCCACCCAGGACACGAGAATTCAGAATAATCTCCTTCCCTCCTACAGATAGTTTAAAAATCTTGAGAGATCCTATCTCTAGAAGGCCCCAGAACATAATTGAGTGTGCAAATGAAATTCATTACTAGGGTCACAAACAATAATCCAATTAACATGTATTTGCGTAATGCCTTTAAAATCATTCTAAACCCAAAACCACATTCATCTTTGAAGTATAACGCAAAACAAGTACCATATCCCAGCATACTCCAGTTCACACTTTGCACTGGAGAGTACGAAACAGCATCAAGATTGCAAAAGCAATAATTCCAGTTATCCAGATGTGATTTTCAATCATTCTAAGAAATGTTTTTTTGTTTTTTTTTTTTTAGCAGTTCTTATTCCATGGCACCACTCACAGCTCTCACGCTGGCGCGGTGCTTACATCTCTTCATTATTAATTCAGCTCATGGAGCTTAATTGGACAAGGCTAGAGCGAATTTGACAAACATCACAGCAGCAGAAAAAGCAATCACTCTTTCAAGATGAAAATTTGTTTGATGTCTTACTGTGTAACTCATTTACGCTCCTCAGGAGTCATGTGACCTGAATGTTAATCAGCCATTGATTGGTTTCTCTCCTTGGACAGTCACGTGACTCGAATATTAATGGGCTGGCACTCAGTAGCTGTACTGTTAGGCAACCTTGTGATTGGCTGCCAGGTTAAGATACGGAGATAAGTGGGTGCTTGATGAGCACTTGACAGAACTTCACAGAAAATTAAGGCCCTAAAATAGCATGAGAAAGTCTTGTCAAATCAAGCATGATTATCATTGAATGCTTAAGGAATTCATCATCTGCATGAAATTGATACACTTCAGCACCAGCAGGCCCTGTAGTCAGCAGGGACTCATCAGATCTTTATTTATATGTGTTCACCAAATCACATTAATTCTGAGAGCTAAAACATGCTAAGGATGAAGGTTATTTTCTGTTCAATCTAATTTATCTATGACAATAATCATCACTAATAATGTGTCAAATTGGATTGCAGTCATTTTATGCATGCATGCTGATTTGGAAAATAGTGTTAAACCATCCCGCGGTAATTAACAACTGGTAAAGGTATGCTGGGCCTGAAGTAATCAGCATATCTAGATGGAAAATTAAGTTTTATAGAATGGATTTATAGATACATATCCTTACTCAATTCGGAATATAAATTATTCCTGGTAAAAGCCGACATCATTTTTATAACACCATTAAGACCAATAACCATTGAGGGACTTGCATCCTTAATTTGCTCCATCCTTCATTTTTTTCTCTCATTTTCTGTGGTTAACTTTCTAATAGGTGTCACTTCCTTCTTGGCAAGTCCTCATTTTAGCGGGTTTGGTAGGGCTAAGAGATGAATGAATATGCATCGGTTTAAGTGTTAATCATGGATGAAGGACAGGGCATCATACCTCTTAATACACAAAGCTTTATAATTATTGGCGGGGGTTGGGAGGTGGGCACTGGAGAGAATACAAAGAGGGGGGTGGGGACAGACTTTGGCCTTTTGGTGTTTCTCTATTATTTCTCCTCACAAAGGGACAATAGGAAATTTTGCAGATTAACTCATAAGGGATTAATGTTTCTTGGGGAATCACTTAAGCCTAAATTGCTTTTGTGGAAATAACTTTTACGGAACACAAGTTGTGTCGTTATTGTTGTTTTAAATAACCTCCCGGTTTATAGGACATTTTAGGAGGAATGGAGTATTGGGAGTAAGGAAATCTTAAAGAAATGTTTAGACCTTTCGGTGAGTGTGGCTAAAATGTTTGAGAGGAGCATTACACTTCGAAAAGAAGAGCGAAATAAATGTTGTTTCTTTCCCACCGCTGCCCCTACCCCCCATCTTAATCTTCTAAGCAACCAGGACTGCCCCTACTCTCTCCCCCTCGCTCAGGAGGTCTCTTTATTGATTAAATGAATCTGCTCCAAAGACTGGCTCCCAGGCTCTTTGATCTAATCCGATCTGATTTTATCCTATCGCTTCAGCAGGACATCGGGGAATTAACAATAAGCAGCTTTACCACAAGTGTTTAATAACTCAACACAATCTCCTTATGGCTCCGAGCTGCTCAAGTCCCATCCAGTCCACAGCAAACAGTGTAGCAGATTGGCCATCCCCCCCACCCCCGCCCGAACCTGAGGAATTTTCATGCACTATGAAACTAATCGCTTCAAGTTCCTTCATAAATCACACAAAGCAGATTTTAGCATCTTAACAAATTGGGAAAAAAAAAAAAAGAGCCAACCAGTAGAGTGGAGTGGGAGTGGCAGAGAGGACTGGCCCTCCGGCTAAAAGCGGGTGGGAAACAGGCAGGCGCTCCAGTACTGCAGTGGGGGAAGGGGACAGATGTAAAATAACTTCTGTCTTCTCAAGCAATATGTTTCTCATCTCCTTAAATTTTAACATGAATGAAATTATTTGGGCAGGCTCAAACCTAACAGTGCTCCAAGCTCACAGTGACCTTATTTTTTTTTTTCTGCTGTGATGGAAACGATGTGGTTTCAACAACAGGCCTCTTGTTATTGTTCCTGTGACAGCCCTTGAAGTATGCAAGAAGCACACATTTAAACAAGGATTGTGCGTCCTGCGTGGTGCCGACAGCCGAGATGTTAGGCTGAAATGGTATGTCCCCTGGCTTTCAAACCAGCATACACGCATAAAGGAGCGTCTTAAATGATCACTTAATTACAAAACGCCATTCTTGAAATGCTTTTTTTTCTTTTCCACTCAGGGCTGTCCGTATGTATATCCCTATCTCTAAATTGCAGCGGTAGAACTGAGTAATATCTTATTCCCCTCCAAAAAAAAAAAAGCATCATATCACAAGCACAGATAGTAAAGGTGATTCTCTCCTTTTGTAAGGCAGAATTTTTTTTTTGCGGTACACGGGCCTCTCACTGCTGTGGCCCCTCCCGCCGCGGAGCACAGGCTCCGGACGCGCAGGCCCAGCGGCCATGGCCCACGGGCCCCGCCACCCTGCGGCACGCACCCGCGTCCCCTGCATCGGCAGGCGGACTCCCAACCACTGCGCCACCAGGGAAGCCCTGTAAGGCAGAAATTTTGATTCAAGCGCTCACCCTTATGCCACAACAGACAGAGCTTGTGAGGAACTGCGAGGCAAAACGGGCTTGTGAAAGCTGCCGGATTATTAGTGCCATGGGGAAAATATCACTCTAGCATTAATCTGAAATAAAACATCTCTCAGGTGCTCTATTTAATACCTACCGTACATCAGAATTACCCATAAAAACATGTTTCATAACAGAGAAACAGCCTTAGCGCTCCACCTGTCACTGTTCTCTCCATTACCCTGGCAGTTCTGCGATTTCTCGCTACATCAGCAGAGTAACAAAGTGCCCTCTAACTGAACATCTGGGGGCAGGAGGAATTTTATGACTCAGGTTCAGGCCAGATTACTATTACTATGGTGAAATCTTTTTCCGTATCCCCAGGGCGCAGGGTACTAACAAATTCACTCAGATACGGCTGGATGCTTCATTATTGCTTTCCTAAATAAAAACATTTATTTTTATATCCTTCTCCATCCACATCCATTCATCAGTATTTATCCAGATTTTCCCACCATTATATGAGTTCAACACTTTCAGACACCCCCGTTCCCAAAAAATGTCTACTCCAATTTCGTGATCTACTCAATATGGAATGGAACACTAGCATGAATAGTGTTATTTTTTCCTCTTTGGAAATGACTTTTGCCTTACTTTTTTTTTTCCAGATAAAACTATGTCATAACAGAAAAATCCCTGTGAAGTTCTCCAAAGAACTCTCTGCTGCTTCCAGACCCTGGAACTATAATTATGCCTTGCATAATTAAAACAGAAAGAACATCCCCTGGCAACTGTGAGCCCCCCTGTTTACATCACAAAGAGGTAGCAAAATGTACTCTGGAAGGTTCCCGCCAAAGTAATTGAGAGGGCTGCCTGAGCCCAGCGCTGCTTTCTAAATATTGTCCATGGGTTAGGAACCGGAGGACGTGCCAGAGGCCTATTGACTCTTCCTGCCTGGGCATGATGTCACGGAGTTCAGTGACTTTGGGGGCTGGTGTTGACTGAAGTCTTATGGCACGTTTAGCCCAAGTGCTTCTACTGGGGAGCTTCAGACCTGTCACACGCCACTACGTGGTGGCCTTCATATGTCCTGAATCCCTGAACTCACACACAAAGGTTCAGAGCATTAGGCCACGGTGTAAACACATTCTTGACATCGAGGACTACAAACAGGATTCTTCTGCTTGCAGTTCAGTCAGTTCACAAGCTCGTCTTTCTTTGGAGCTTTCTTTGTAGGTTGCTGCAGTTGGAATATGAAAAGAGAGACACAGACACACAGAGAAAGACAGAGAGACAGAGGGAGAAAGAAAAAAAAAAGGCACTGAGGAAAAAGGAAAAAACAAAACAAAACAAAACCAAAGCCACAAGTTGAAAAAAAAAATCCCTATAAAATAGAATTGCATTATGTTTTTGTGTATTTTTGAAATGTAGCCAAACTAAACCATTACATGAGGATTTTGTTTCACAGAGTCTGCAAACTATTCAGTGCTAACCCACTACACCAAGAATGTGATGCCAACCAAAATATGTCAAGATCAGTAGTGCTCAATAAAATCTCAAAACCAAATGACATGCAAGCTGTATTTCATGATTAGAGCGCTTCCTTATGTCAAGGAACATACATATTAACTTGTTTAAACACAGCGATGGGCTGTCACTCTGTTTGTCAAAAGCACAGGAAGGAGAATCTAGTGCTTCCCAATCCCATCCAGATGATGCTTCACACTTTCTATCTTCCTGGCAGACAGCACAGACCCCATCCAATTAATCTTTACATCTGAGAGAGGAAGAACTGAAGGAGAGAAGGAGGGAGAGAAAGAAGGGGAGAGGGAGAGAGACCACTTCCCACTTTACCAAGCAGGGCAGTAAAAGCAGGGTTTGCCATTGCTTTGCTCAAGGCCCTGATACAAATAGAGAGCTGGGATTAGAAGAAAAAATGCTTACTTTTTTCTACCAACTCACCAAAATTACAAAATACAAGCACCTTGAAACTTTTTTTTTAATCCAGAGAATTAACAGTAGCATAAAGCTTTAAGGTCTACAAAGGGCTCAAATATATACATATTTTCACACTGAATCCTCAGCACTGTCCTAGCCATTTATATATTATTATTCCCATTTTACAAAAGAGAAGCCCAAGTCTCAGAGATGTAGTGACACGCCCAAGCAGCTCCTCCAGAAACAAGGAAAACTAGAGCAGGACGCCTCTGTTTCAGGCCTCTAAACCAAATGGGAACAACACAAAACACGGCATCCCTTTCTGCACCAAAATGTGTGAGTTTGAGCAGGATTCTAAAAATGTAGAGGAGCAATTATCTTGTTCTCTGACTGTCACCAGCAACGAGCTGCTGCGTGCTTCTACCTGGCAGTAGGATGAAAGGGAGGCTGTTCTCTCATTTACAAAATACAGTAGTAAGATATGTGATTATGTTAGGAACACTTGAGGGGCCTTTTGGGTGAAAAGGAAAAACCAGAGCATGCCTCGTCTGTTATTTGGGTGTTTTTTCACTTGTGTGAGCCTGGCAAACCCCCACTGATGCTGATACAGCAAAACGGGGTGCTCCCACAGCAGACTTGGAGCTAGAGCTGCTTCCATCTTCTGCACCCACCTGTCCCCCTACACCCACAGCATCCTCGTTCTCAGGGACCCTCTTGAAGCTGGGGAATCACTGCCACCTTGTACCTGCCACACAAGCCTTGGGGTTGTGGTAGAAGAGAACTGGAATTCAAACTAGTGTCTCCTCTGACATATCACAGTGTGGCTCCTTCCAGTAAGTCTGCCCTTCACACCACAGCCGGAAGGGGCCAGGGACACCGAAATGTGGCGGGAATGTCCATATTTACACCCCTGACATCCTCCTTAGCCTGATGAGACGCCCAGCCTTTCAAGATTTAGGCGCTGTGTGGCATTCTGGCTTCATTTCCTCACACTCATCCGCATGCACCTGACTCCAGTCATGCTTAACAGATGACTTCCGTTATGGGCTGAATTGCGTCCCCCTAAAAATTCCTATGTGGAAAGCCCTAACCCCCAGTACCTGAGAATGTGACTATACTTGGAGAGAGGGCCTTGAAAGAGGTAATTAAAGTAAATGAGGTCATATGAGTGGTCCCTAATCCAACATGACTAGTGTCCTTAGAAGAAGAAGAGATTAGGATACAGAGAAAAGACCATGTGCGGACAAAGCAAGATGGCGGCTGTCAAGGCAAGGAGAGATGCCTCAGAGGAAACCAAACCTGCTGACTCCTGCACTTCCAGCCTCCAGAACTGCGAGAACATTAATTTCTATGTTTTTAAGCCACCCCACCTGTGTATTTGGTTACGGCAGCCCTAGCTAACTAATATAGCTTCTCATTCAAAGCCGTGTCGTGGTCTTTCATACAGCCCCGGAGTCCCGAACACCGGCCCCTCTACCTGGAACACGCATCCCTTGACTACTGGCCTTGTGGACACCTCTTCATCTCCAATGCTCAACTCAAATGCCAGGTCTCCTCCTCCATGAGGCCCTCCCAGCTAACCATGGGCACCTAATAAATAGCTCATCTGTGATTACATGAAGCTCGTGACATACCTCTATTATGTGGCCATCCCCCACACTTATCTGATGACCTGTCTCCTAGTACCAGCCAGTCTTGTGGAAAAGGGACGCCCTCTTACTCATTTCCCCAGCCTAGCACAATGCCCATCAGAGAGCAGACATTCAATTAATGTTTGATGAAAGGACAAAGGGGGGTGTGGAAGGAAGCAACAACAGCAACAGCAAAAATAACTAAACCTTATCGAATGTTAACTATGTGCCAGACTCTATTCTAAATGTTACACTTGTATCAACCAGCTTTATCCTCCCAATAACCATATGAGGTAAACATTACTGTTTATCCTCATTTTACTGGTGAGGACCAAGGCATACCAAAATAAGTAACTTGCCCAAGGTCATGCAGAGCCAGGGATTTAAAACCATGTACCTGGCTCCAGAGTTGACATTCTTAAGAGAATGTCTTTCAAGGAGAAAGAAAAGGAGAAAAGGAAGAAGGCAGGAAAGGAACAAAAGAAGGGAAGAAATCACCCACTGTGTAAACTTGGGCAATATACTTCAATTCTTTGAAACTCAGTTTCCTCATCTGCTTGTCTCAGGAAAGGCTCCAGTGAGATAACATACGAGAATACATTCTAATTGCAGAGGCCTGTAGAGCCACACAGCCTCTATTATCAGTAGCCAGAAATCAATCAAGTTACCTCACAGGCCTTCAACTTGAGAATTTTCAGGTAGAGACATTCTGCATGGTGGATAATCCTGAAGAGATACATTCGAGGCGGAGAAGAATGGGGTAGTCAAAGATGAGCGTTGCAAAGGAATACTTCTCTGCCTCCCACCAGGGGTCAGAGGTCGCACTGCCTTTTTCCAGAACTCTAGGAGAACCATTTCCCCTGTAATCTCTCGGCCCCCCTGGCGTTGTAAATTCCACCTGACCTGGTCAGGAGGGTCTCTGAGGATACCCTACAGGGGTGTTGCCTGCGGTTCGGAAACCGCAGATTACATCCTTGAGAGGCCTACAGATCAATGTTATATTAAAATTTCAGGTTAGTGGGCTTCCCTGGTGGCGCAGTGGTTGAGAGTCTGCCTGCTAATGCAGGGGACACAGGTTCGAGCCCTGGTCTGGGAGGATCCCACATGCCACAGAGCAACTAGGCCCGTGAGCCACAACTACTGAGCCTGCGCTCCGCAACAAGAGAGGCCGCGATAGTAAGAGGCCCACACACCGCGATGAAGAGTGGCCCCCGCTTGCCACAACTAGAGAAAGCCCTCGCACAGAAACGAAGACCCAACACAGCAAAATAAATTAATTAATTAATAAAAAATTAAAACTCCTACCCCCAACATCTTCTTAAAAAAAAAATTTCAGGTTAGTAATCTAGTTTACTGAACTTAATATTCCGAGTTGGGATTCTGATGTCACCTGTGGGATGGAAGAATTTCCTGTTCTATTTTCAAACTGGACTTTTCTGGTTTTGGTTTGTTTGTTTTTTAAATACTGTCTTCAATGGGGCATCTTCATCTCTTTTTTCTTTGATTCAGAAATGCACTGAGCATGAAACAAGGACAAATGGGACCTGATAACGGCACAAGTTCTGTTGTGCTACAGCTGCAAAGACTCCTTTTCTTTGGCAGTTTTCAGATGACCTACTTACCTAGGCAGGGAGCAGAATGGTTAAAGCGCTTGAGGAAATCAACTGTAAATAGAAAGCCTATGTTTAACATAATCCCCTCCAGATGATGCCCCCCTCCTCCAGTCACTGTAATCAACCCTGTAGTAGCAGGTGAAGGTGCTTGATTATCTCCCTGTGGCATTATGTCTCACCACATAGCTGATAATAAACTGATGGATTATCAAACAAGATTACAGCTTTAGCAAATAAAATCATGTTTTGTGTTAAGAGAGAAAATGCTTACTATCCCTATCTACCTGGCTAAATATTTACATATCACAGGCTTTCTAGGGTCCCTGTTCTTTCAAATCTGATTTTTTAAAAACAACACAAAGGTTAAGTTAACAAAAAGGGAACACACTGTGCTTTCGACACCAAGCTAAATACACCTCTGGGAGAAAACAGGTGCTGCCCGAAAGGTAGAAAGAAATCCAAGGCCTCAGGTGCTGGTGAGATCAATGGGTACATGCGACAAAAAAAACCGAGCTGAATGTGTTAGGAGGGATTCAAATGCCTACTTTAAAGGGAACATAAGTGAAAGAGAATAGAAATCCAAAGCATGCAGGCAGCTCTGTGTGTGTGTGTGTGAGAAGGAGAGCAATGGGCTTGTATACAAGTCTCGTGCTGGCCTGTTGCTTTATACCTTCCAAAGCCCTTTACCTTAGTTGCCTATATTCCTCTCCCTGCCTCCCCCCAACCCAGTTTCTCCCTGTTTTCCCCAATCTCTCCATTTTACAACTGACACAAAGGGAGGCCTAGGAGAGGTTATGTGACTTGCAAAATGTCCTGGAAGGCAGGCCTCAAACACAAATTTTCTGATTCCCGGTACAACCCCCTTTCTGTTGCACCTCTCTACTCTAACACAGGGATGTTCTTCTAAAGGACAGGAATGGAAGAGGGTTTTTTTAAAAAAAGCTTCGTGTAGTCATATTGACAAATCTGAAGTTGAATTACTATTTGGTTTAAGATTTGTGGACAGAAATGGATGTAATGTAAAATAGGAAACAGGCATTTTAAAAGGCCTATCTTTC